CACATAGATTCTTGCATATCAAGGACGTTTCCAACCCCTTTTGTGAGCGGATAAGTTTCTCACTAAATTTTCAAACCAGACTGCATAACATTATTGTAGGCTTCCCTTTCATTCCTACCTACCTTTTATTATATTACCCATTTCAGATTTACTTTCTAAATCAATCTAAACTTGTCTGTCTGTTTGTCCGTCTGAAATCAGTCCATGTATTTTTGTATTTAACGTATATGTGGCAATTTTTAAAATATTTTTCATTGAAAATAGTTTAGTTGGGACGACTTTCTCGACCATTTACACTTTATTTTGCAAGGTAGCGACATGAACAACCATTTTGCTTTACAATGCTTTATTTTTGCACTATTCTTAAAAGCGGTTTGAAATAACTTAAATAAAAAGAGAAATTTTTATCTTTAAAGTGTAAACATTATGTAAAGTATTGCCGCGATAGGAGCGAAGTACAAAACAGACCATTTGCGTCCATGTGACAGAATTACGTTGATGTAACATGACATTTCGTTAGAAGCTTTGCTCGAATTAACACAAACACTATTCACTCCATTAATTTTGCAAATTTGAAGAATGTTTGAGAAAATTTGCAGTAGTATAAAATACAACTGCAGAACAAGAATGAAAATATTGGATAATCTTCTGGATATTTAAATAACATAAATATAACACAATAAACAGCATTTAAAATAAACTACCTGCAGCACTGCTTTAGACACTGTTCATGTGTCTCTACTAACATGAATTTTAGTCAATGTACCTTATGTCTGGCTTCTAAACGAAAATAATCATAATATAAGATGTTCATGACAAGTGGTGTTATATGTAAGAAAATCTGTTCCGCGAAGGGTTGACCGCTCCATTGTAAAATAAATGTAAAATATGTAAATAGAATAAAGCAATAAAAACATATTTTTACGAGTGCATTTTTTTTTTCTAATATATGCAGTTTTTTCGCTAAGTGTCTGGAATGTCTGAAATGTGGTTTGGCTCTGTTTATTTTGTTAGACATGATTTTTGGCTTTTGATATGAAATTTTTATGTTTTAATATGCATTTTGGTACAATTGCCGGCATCCACACAACAGTTTTATTTTTCATGTTACGTATAACCCAACCCATAACAGGCAGAAAATAAAAAACGCATAAAATGTACAGAATGACGTCAATATTGCACAATTTAATATATATATATATATACGTGTATATATATGTGTATATGTATCATGCAAATAGTAAAAAAGAGCACGTTTTTTTTTTTTTTCTTTTATTATTTTATTTATTAATGTTATAGCCCTGAGTAATAAATGTACATACGTTATATATATTTGTTAATAGATAAGGCCCCAAAATATTTTACACTTTAAAACATTTTCTGCTATTTAGTAAGTAAGTAAAGTCTTTAAGTAAAAATTTCAAAATAATGTAAAATTTTTTTAAAGCGCATAACATCACAAAAATGTAAAAAATGTTTTAAAAATATTTAGAAGGAAGAAACAGAAGATTGGAAATTTTGTACAATTTTTTAAACTCCTTTCCACAAAATATATGTTATGCATTATTTTAGAAAAACAACCAAGAGCCAATCAGAGTTATGGTCTTCGCATTGAGACGAACTTCCGATGCATATCATTTATTTAAATTTCGCCAAAAATTCTGTTGATTTTAAGCATATCATTTGATCATTTCTTTGTTACATTTGCAATGGGTTTAATTAACATTTGAATTTAATTGTATATCGCTGCAACTTATAAACTGAAGATGAAATTTTATTATATTAAATTTTTCTTATCATTAACCAAGAGGCACACAATACACATAATTCATGTTCGCATTCGCTATTAAAAATATTTATTCATTAAAACCAATAGTCTTTTCGAATATTACAAACGAAATACTAAAATTAATTTAAGCGTATTCTCTGGTAGCGTGAACAAAAACTACATTTATAGTATGGAATATTTCAAAATGAAAGCTATTTGCAAAAAAATGGCATCTAAAACTATACTACATGTTTTTAGATATTATTTGAACTCTCTCTCTCTCTCTCTATCTCTCTCTCTCTCTCTCTCTCTACCAGCATTCGGCAGTGCACATATGCAGTAAAAACGAAACTATATAATTGATTAAAATTGATAACAAAAAACAAAAATAAATCAGAAAGTTCCATACGCGATTACATTGCCAGCGCAACAACAAAAAATGAAAGATAAAAATAATACAAAAAAAAAAAAAAACTCCTTAATAAATGAAAACTGGTTAAATATTTTAAGTCAAGTTTTTAGGTTAGACCGGTGATTTTATATTGTTTTGAGTGCATATTTCAACTTTAAAGTGTTATGATATTAGAGCGCGCATAAATCATAATAAGCTCGTTTTTCTTTTAAATCCGTTTAAAAGGGAAAAATAATTGACATCAAATAAATTTGCGAACTTTATATGATTACAAATATGAAACACATTTGCTACGGTATCGCATATAATGAATTAAAATATTAAGCTTTGTTCAGATGCCCGTAAGCAAAAAATGCACGTAAAACTGTTTGTGATTCGATGAATTAATTTTTGAATAAATTTAAGATTTCACACACAAAAAAAAAAAAAAAAAAAATAGCCCACGGTTTGTTGGTTCCTGTTCATTGCATTGATGAAAAAGTCCTTTTAGAAAAGTTAATGTAAGTTACATTAATAGAAAAAAGTCTATAAATTAACTGTCATCTTATTTATCTGTAATTTAGTTATTTTTCAATTCAATCAAAAAACAAAAGATACTAAAGATTACGTATAAATGATGCAAAATCTCGAAAAACTTTTTTAAATGCGTTGAGCCTACACGTTATTCTATAATGTCATGAAACTTAGTCAGACGCTCACCAGTATTTCTCATCTATATTATACTTAATTATTAGGAATTAATAAAAAAAAAGTTCACATTTTAGAGAGAGGTTGCTTTTCCTCTTCTTCACGCAAAAAGTGCATTGGGTAGATGTCGTTCGGAAAACTTTCTTTACACTAGTTTGACTTGCAGTTTTATTCGATCAATCACTTGGGTGCTTAATTAACTACAACTAGCAACGTTGGAAATATTAAACATTAGCTCGACGTTGACAATTGGACTTTATTTAGGCATTTACACTATTTAGCGTTTCTATGTTTCGCAAAACGGGCGATCAATGTTAAATGGAGCAGATTCTCTCTTATCATCAAAGCGAGTCACTCGCTATTAGAAGACGTTCGCTAATGCCAAGTCTAAAAGTTGACATAAGCTCTACCTGATGGAACGGAAAAATAAGTGTCTGTAAAGATTTCCTATACCGGAAGTTTCTTACAATTATTGTAAAAGTTTAACGAAATGTCTACTTATTGTGCGAAAACAAAACGTTGAGTGAATTTATTTAAGTTGATATCTATTCAAAATTCGCTTTAAAATATTTTGAAATAAAGAAAGCTTATTGCTTGATAATCGCCAAGGTGCACTTCACTTCTTTGGATATTCTGAGTCTTACCTAGCCTCTCTACAATTTTATAAAATGAAGGCGATTTTTATTCGAAAAATTACTAATTTTATTTTGCTAAAGCGAACTTTAGCCACTATATCAAGAGAAGAAAGCAAAAAAAAAAAAAAAAAAATCTAAGCATTAGAGAGTAGAGGACAAACAGAAGCATAAGCACAAAAAGGAATATTATGCACTTGTGAGAACGATGATGAATGTGACATTTTTATGGTTTATATATTTGCAGCCATATTCCACATTAACAAGCGACAATAGCAACGACCGATAACAATGGCAAAGACACAAAAAACTAAACCAGAAAACTATTGTTATATACAATATAATAATATATTGATATATACTTTTTGCCTTTTTAACTTCACCTTGACAACCATAAATACATAAAGAAAACTATATACGAAAGCACATACACAGACAACCATTAAATATTATGAGTGTGTGCCTGCTAAATGTTGTGGTCACCAGGAGGCCAACTACAAAGTGATAGTAGTTGCAGTGAAAAATTATAAATGAAAACGAACATAAAAAGAAATTGCATTTTTTTAGTGTGATGTTGTAAAACACAGCTGCGCACATCACACAACAGCATATATATCACAACAATAATAAAAAAATAAGTGAAAGTCGCATAAGAGTAACATAAATACTTAGTTGTTTTTATTAATTTTCATTATATATTTATTTAACGCCTCATTGTTTATAAGGCAACACAACCTCATAAATAACCGAGAATTATTTATGATAAATATGTTTAATGAGCTAAAGAATTGGAGGCTCATATAATATAAATAACTTGAAAGTTCTTTTACGTTAACCATGCCGCAAACATTAAGGAGTACAAATGTATGAGTTTTTAATTTTCATAAAATCGCCTATACAACTCAATGCCACAAAGGCATTTTGCGAAATCTTCAAATTGCGTCCTGATATATATATATATGTATATACCTCGCGCTCTCTGTACTAATTTCCTTTTAGACAAAATCCCCTACTGACACATGTCAAAATCATCAATTTCCCTAACAAATGTCTATACAAGTGTAAACATACAAGTGCAAATACATTACATACATACGTAGATGGATACATACTATCCAGGAATCATGTCAAAAAAAATTAAAAGCGAAATAAATAACATCATGC